AGGCCAATAGCGAAAGAGATTTGAAGATCTATTAAAAAGGGGGAAAGGGAACAATGATTTGATCGATTAGGTTGCTAGGGTTATGGGTTCTGCAGGGTAGTTCGATGAGGGTACTGGTTTCTTCGCAAGTGATTATGGGTTTGTAGAATGATTTGCTCATTGGATTTTACTTTTGACTGTCGCATAAAGGAGAAGAAGACGCCGAGTCGCATATTGGTCTTATATGCAGCTGCAAATTGTTGTTGTATTGGAATGTGTTTGGGCGGGGCAATCATGAAATTGGAATTGGGATGAGATTATATATGTTTGGGGCTTTGGGCTGATGGAAATTTGTAAAAAAGCCCAAAAGTTTGGTCTCAAAATTGAGTCAATATGGGGGATAGAATAAAAGGAAAATGACCATTTGAATTTCAATTAAAGCCAATTGAAATTAAGAAATATAGCCAATATGAATTTAAGTAACATAATTGGCTAAAAATGAAGTAAAATGAATTAGTATAATCAACTAACGAGCTTCTTAATCGTAACAAAAATTAAATAAATAACTCGATTATAAACTAATAACTCAAAATTATAAATATAGCTTACAGTAAATTAATAAAATATTTAACTAAAGTGTAAAATTCTTTGTGATGATTTTTCAAATATTTATAATATAACGAGATTGTAAAAATATATATATTTATTATTTAAATTGATAAAATTACTTTGAAATAACTTGAAAGTATTTTAAATTTCATAAATTATTAATTCATAAATACAACCATCACTAATAAAGTATTTAAAATATAAAATATTTTGAGATAATTTTTTAATATTCATAAAATACATAATTATATTAAACACATATATTATTTAAATATCATAAAAGAGGGACAAAACTTGCAATCTATATGTATTTTTTTTTTGAATTTTTATTTCAAATCGTTTGTGTCACGCCCGAGCCTACATCCTGGACGTGCTCGACAATCAATGACCATTAATGGCATTGATTAGACCCTTGAGATGACTTACTTAACTCAGCAGGAGAAAACAGTCAATACGATAATCATCAATGAATTGAATTAACTGAATAATAAGATAATTGGAATGTTTAAATGATTTAAACATTCAACATGGCCAAAGTGGCAACCAAGTATTTAACATAAGAATAATACCGTAAAGACTAATGAACTACTACTTGTCTATCTATGAAGTCTTCTAAAACTGATATGCATATTGGGACAGACCCATAACATCCTATAAAAAAAAGGAATGACAGAAAGTTATAAATGTGTCCTCAAGAAAGCAAGGAGGCTCACCACCGACACTCAGCTGAATCAATGATGTGATGGATGATGTTGATCTTGGTTACCTGCGTCTACATTATTATATGATGCATGCCAATTGACATCTATACATTGAATTTACGAGTATGCGAGTTTAAATATTAAATTAACTTAAGTTTGAAAAGGAGTAAGAAGGAACACTTACCTTGGTCTGCTCAACTCAAGAAAAATATGACTTAATAATACTAACTCATTTCAATATAAGCCAATTTAAAAGCATGTGTAATATAAAGAATTTTTTTAAAAAAACATGTTGTAGGTTCTAAATGTATTCAAGGATACAAATAAGTCTAAGATGTATGTGAGAATACAAATCAATTGATGTGTATATATATAAATACATTTAACTTCTGTTGGAGTTTCTCTAATCGAAAACCATGTCTTACGAGCTCCAATAATGATACAACGATCTACCTCAGTCCGACAGGGCATCGTACACCCTACCAAAGGTATAAGATTTGATTGCCTAACGGAACCACTAGACTACTATGAAAAAGGTTCATCTAAAGAGTATGACCCTCTTCTACCCATGGTGGCTACATGGTTTATGAGGTTGTGAGCTGTCTGAACTATCCCCCATATTGGTTCTCAATACTACTCCCAAAAATATACTAGCTCTTATGTTTTAAAAACATACTGATTTTGTGATTTGAGATTAGTGCTCAAAATACTTAGCTCAAAGGCAATCTTTGAGATAACAATTCATCTGCTTGGTTCATTTAGAAATATGTTTCTTATTAACTGAAAACTATGCCAAAGACTCTTTGAAAATCTCAGTTTCTCTTCTTTTCAACTTTGAAAACATTTTAAGTTCTTTTGGGACTACTTTGTTCCTATATACTGCTTTGAAGGAATACTTTACTTTACTTTGAACTGAACTCGAGCTTAAGTCTTAAAACGTCACTTCAAAGTTTTTAAAGACTTATGGAAACTTGAAATGAATTTCACTTTCTTATCTTTTAGTCCTTGATTAAACTGACCTTTAAGTGTTAAAACAAATTAATGCATTTGCAAAAGACTTCATGAATGTACTTTAAGTATTTTCTAAACTTGGCTCTAACTTTCCCATGAATTTGATGTTATGGATTCAAGAAGTAAATTAGTTTTTGAGGTTGATTTCTATGTAATTTGAAGTCATATAGAGTAGTTAGAATATTAGAAGGTGTTAAAACACCTTAGAAGGGCTTAATTGGAATAAAATAGGAAAAATAGGCAAATAAACACCGATTTGGGCGCGTTAGGGGCGCCGCGCCAGACAATTTGGTCTGAGGCTCCTTTCTGGTGCACTGCAGGGTGCCGCCCTAGGCCCTTTTGCATAGATGGGGCACACCGCGTGAGGTGGTACCCAGATGCGTCTAAACAGTTTTTCATCTCTCATTTTGTGATCCTAAATCACCTAAACCTCCATAGTTCAAATTCCAAATCCTTTGGTTTATTAGTATCTACAATACTCAATAGATCGAACTCGACCCAGAATGACAAATTAATGCAACAATAGGCAAACACAAACTCAACAATCAAGAACGTAACCATATTTTTCAAGAAATTAAATAATCTCATTAAACCAATTCGAAAATCAAACGATTGAAGTAAGATTGGTGTGTGGGTGAATTAACCCAACACTAAAAGATCTCACATACCTTTATATGGATCACCCCCGAAGAAATCCACAAGTTAAACCTTGGCGTTCTTGGCGAATCCTTGATTTTTCTCCCTTTTCTTCTTCTTTTTTCTTTTGTCAAAGCTCTAAACGTGATTTTGATTTTCTTATCTGAAATAAAAATTGTTCTTACCCCTGTTAACCTATAAAACAAAATAGAAAATAAAAGAACATTGTAATTACTCATTCCTAGGTCCTAACACGTTTAAGCATAAAACAGAAGGCCTCAAAAAGCTTAAACAAACTTTGTCACTCCCCCTTTTTCTTTCACTCATTCAATCAGGAAACCATACAAGTTGTTGAAGATAATCAATTAAAGCATTGGAGACATCAAAATGATTGTTTAGAACTCGCTTCATTTTTAAATAAGGTATCCATGATCTTTTTGAATATCAATAGTGATACTAAACATACTTCTTTTTCATCTCTATCCCGCTTTATGATCTTTAGAGATCTGATATATGAAAGACTTTTTTATATTCAAGAACTCAAAATATATTGTTATTATAAGTCAATTGTTATTTATATTTATACATATTTGATAAATTGATTGTTAGACTCAAAACATGGTTAATGTTTGAAATGAGATGGTGTAATTTTTACCTTTTTGTTGTTAACAGTAAGATACTAATAGTAATATTTTATTTATTGTAATCTCAATGAAGCACAATAGTTCTTAATATTAGTATTTGTCAAATTTATGGACAATTATACTGCCAATAAGGGATGTCATTAATGGCAATGCCAGATGCAAATTCTAGGAGAGTTAAGTGGCTATTGTTATTGCTATTGCGGTCAAATATATGTCATCAAAAAATGAGGAAATATTTAATGTTCTAAATTATTAGAAAATTTGATCAAAAAATTAAAAGAACTATAATATTTTTTAATTTTAAGACTAACTTTTTTAAATTAAACAAAATATTAAAGTTAAAAGAGTAAAAGTATTTAGAAAAGTAAATAAAATATCATTAGCAAAAAAGACACTTGCATTTTTAATATGTTTACCAACAATCTCTGTAATTTTGCTTAAAACTTTAGGAATCACCAATAGTTAACTAAATTTGGAAGTAGAGGGTTATGTGCAGTGCAGCATAATCTTTTTTAAAAAAAATCAAAACAAATCTAAATTATAATGGAGAGATTAAGTGAATTATTTTTAAAAAAAAATTATATATAAAAAATGTTTATGAAAGAATTTCTTTGGAGTGGGGTGAGAAAAATATTTAATATTTTATTTTATATTTTTTAGAGAAATATTATTATTTCAATATTTTACTTTAATTAATAATCATTTTAATTTTTATCAATATTAATGATTGTCTATATAAAGTGTGCTTAAAAGAGATATGTATGTTCTATTAAACTAATAAAAGATACTTTCTTCGTTTCAAAAATAATGTTCCTATTTCCTTTTTAGTTTATCTAAAAAAGAATGATCCATTTTCTTTTTCTGTAACACTTTAACTTTCCACGCGACATGTTTAAGACCAAAAGATTAAAAACCATTTTGATACATTTGACATGACTTTAATTTAGAATTACAAGATTAAAAAGTCTTTTTTTTTCTTAAATTCCGTTCAAAGTCAAACTAAGTTATCCTTTTTGAAATGGAGAGAGTAGTAATTTATATATAAACCTAGACGGTCAATTGTTTGAACATGAAATTAAAAAAATAAATCCTTAGTTTGTTTTATACGCATATTTATCTTTCAAAAAAGAAAAGTAAAGAAGATTATAATTTATCACTGTTAAAGTCTAACACGTGCAATTAGAAAACAAAAAAACTGAAGCAAACTTTGTCTCTTTGTCTCAGTAATGATAAAAGTTTGAATGGAAGATAAAGCGTGAACAAAATTTTGGAGATATCGAGAGAAAAAAAATAATTATTTGAAACAATTGCTAATATAACTTGTGGTTCTTGGTTTTGCAGTTTCTACTCTATTTTATTGAAACAAAAACATATCCTTTCTATTTTGTAAAGAAAAATATCAAGTGTTGTTGTAAAAGAAATGGCGTCACTCTCCAACTCAATTTCCAAAGGATTGTTGCATAGTCCAGAATTGCGTGAGGTACAAAATTCAATTTCATTTAAACCTCAATCATACATTTTCCACCTTATTTTTATTCGTTCTTTTGCGTATTTTTTTAGTTAAATTTATCATGCTTATATGTTTTAACTTCTGCAAGTATATGTTGGAGACTTTTGTGTACCCGCGAGAGCCAGAGCTTCTCAAGGAGATTAGACTTATAACTTCAAATAATCCAAGGTAATATTTTATTATTAATTTATACTTGTTAATCTCGTTTTACCCATAAACTTCAATACTGCAAAATAAAAATATTTTACTTTCGCCCATCACCATACAACATTTTTTTTTGTGTGTGTAAACCCTCAAACTATTTTTAATTAAATCAAAAACCTAAATTGCTAAACCTTCTCTAAAAATAAATTACATTGGCCAATACATTTTTCACGTGACATCAGTAAATTTTCATTTTCCAACTCAACATAACACCTCATGCTTTCCATTGACTCATCATAATTTTTTTTAAAAAAATGTTTACTAACAAAAGGAGTAATATGAAGAATGACTTAATTTTTTTAGTCTGCTTTAGAAAGAATGATTTCTTTCCTTTTTTAATACTATTTAACTACAATTTTCAATATGACATGTTTAAGGTTACAAGATTAAAGAGTATTTATAAACATATGTCATAACTATAATTTAGAACCATAAGATTAAGAAGTTTTTTTCTTTTTTTTTTAATTCCAGTTCCAAGTTAAACTAGGTCATTTCTTTTAAACAGAAGGAGTAGTATTTTGTAGGTGTAACGACCTGTTTAGTCATTTTGAGCAGCAGATTTTATTCTGGAAAAACAGGCTGAGACGACGGAACGTCATGGGCACGACGGACCGTCGAGGGTGTCTCGTCCCAAAACACTTAGAAATTCTGAAATTTGGGTACTGAAAATCGACTCTCTGAACTTCGTGACGGAATGGCAGGACGGACCGTCACAGGCGTGACGGACCGTCACAGATTATTCAGTGGAAATTGAGTCTCTGACCCTTGCGACGACCTGCAGGACGGACCGTCGCAGGCACGACGGGCCGTCGCAGGTTGCGCAATCCCAGTCTGGGTTGGATTTCTTGATAT